AAAAAAAAAAAAAAATTGTAAAGGGGATTGGCAATAAGAATTCTTTTTTTTTTTTTTTTTTTTTTGGTTCCGGGGATCAAACTTGGGCCCTTGTGCTTTCGAGGCAGGCAGTGGAACCACTGAGCCAAATCCCCGACCCAATAAGTATACTTTAATAGTGATGTCACTTTATTAGAAAATTCACAAGTACAGTAGAAAAGCATTTCAATCAAAATCACAACTTTCTCAGGACGACAGTGTATAAGGAAGTTTATCAAAATGTACTGCATATTTAGTCTGAGAGTTTTCCCAAATACATAATCTTTATATTGTCAGCTTTTCAGCATTAAGAAACAAATTCAGGCCTGGGTTGTAGCTCAGTGGTAAACATATGCTTAGCATGTGCAAAGCTCTGGGTTCAACCAAAAAGAAATAAATTCCCACAGGGGTTTTTGTTTGTCCTTTCGTGCCACTGAGCTACATCCCTGGCCTTCTTTATTACTTTTTTTTTTCTTTTTCTTTGGCAGTGCCCAGGACCTCATCCAGGCTGGGCAATCCCACACTGGGCTACCCTGCAGCCCACATCACATTTCTTAAGTTCCTATCTAGAAAAAAACAAAGAAAACAGACACTGGCTTTTATAACCAACATGCAGTTAAAATGCCTTAAAAACCGTATACTTCCTTTTTTTTTTTTAGTTTTTTTGAGACAGGGTCTCACTATGTAGTTGAGACTGACCTGGAACTCACTATGTAGCCCAGGCTGGTCTCAAACTCACAGCGATTCTCTTGCCTCATCCTCCTGAGTGTTGGGATTATAGGTGTGAGTCACAACGCCCAGCCATTAACCATATACTTCCTACAATTTTCCATTTATATGAAAAGAAATCAGGGGCCGGGGATTTGGCTCAGGGGTTCCGCCGCCTGCCTCCCAAATGCAAGGACCCGAGTTCAATCCCAGGTACCAAAAAAAAAAACCCAAAAAACAAAAAGAAATCAGGTTGGGGGCATAACTTAGTGGAAATTTACCTAGCCTGCATGCGGCCCTGGGTTCAATTCCCAGCAATGCAAACAAAGACTGCAAGAACTTAGGTACATTCCTTACCTGTAGCTTTTGATACATCTCTATGTTGATGGCTTTGACTTCCTCTAGCTGTTGGCGAAGGCCTATCAGAGTATCTTGTTTCTCGTGAATATCTTTCTCCAGCAGCTTCATGGCAAGTTCAATCTCATGCTTCATACTGACTTGTACCGACAGCTCATTCTCCACATCCTGCAATTTCAACATATCATCAATTCCTACACCACTTAGGGTGTCAAAATCAGATGCGAGACAGTTAATGAGGACAGATTTCCCACTCAACCACTCCTTTTAAGTCCACTAATGACAATCAACCAGGCCTATAATATAATTTTACATATTTTCAAATGTAGTTTTTGCTAAAAGGAAAGCATTTCTTTAGATTCTGTTAATCACTACTCTAATGGTTCCAGATTAAGTATTTTTATGCCTCATAATTCAGTATTAATTTTCAAGTAAAAGCAAATGAAACAACCTGTAAGACCAAAGATAACCCAAAACTATTTTCTTTTCTTTTTTTGATACAGGGTCTCATTATGCAGTTCAGGCTGACCTTGAATTCACTATGTAGCTGAGACTAGCCTCAAACTTGCAGTGATCCTCCTGCCTCAGCCTCCCGAGTACTGGGATTACATGTTTGTGCCACCACACCTGGCTTGAATGTAACTCACAGTTTGAAAAACACTCATAGGGTGGGAGCTTAGAGACTGTGAGAATATGCAGGGAGTGACTTTGCTGTCCCACATTTAAAAAGACAAGGCTGCAAGAGATCTACAGAGTTCTGCTAAAGCAACCGCAGGGGAGCGACCTGCCGTAACTGGGACTCATCACGAAGCTGCCGCCGAGCATCGTTGTACATCTCATCCAGCCCCTGCCGAGAGTGCTTGTATGTCTGCAGCTCAGTCTCCATATCCACTTTGGTGACCTAGGAAGAAAACAGCCAGCTTCCTATTTTGCAGTCACAAGCATCACTAATGCAGCACAGAATCCGCAGAAGCCCCAGAAGCAGGAGCTTCTGACCAGGGCCCGTCCGTCTGACTTTGCCCGCACTCACCTCTAGGTGCTGCTGTGTTTTCATTAAAATCAACTTATTTTCACTTCGTAATTGATGGTTTTCTTCTTGGAGCTTAATGATGTTATTTTTTGCTATTGCTAACTAAAATTATGATACAGGGACAAGAAAAAAATGTAACATCTTTAGTTATACTTGTTTTACAGATTATGTTCATGGCTATAAACAAAAGTAAATAAAATCTTACAACAAGCAAAAGTCTCTTACACTGACAAAAACTTTCATAATACAAATGTGCTCTTTATTTCAGATTTTCTTTGTACTATTTATTTCTATTTCCTTTTATAGTTGAATCACATTATGCTTTATTCTTAAACATATTATGCTTGCCATATTTGCATTATACAAAATGCCTAAGCATCTAAAAATTATGTGATAAACAATACTGTACAGACGTGTGTAAGATACAAACACGTACAAGAAAGAAAGTTTTGCTATCTCTGAAAAATGTAATGAATACTCATGGTAACAGAACAGAATGGCCTGTGGGGTCTGGACATGGAAGAGGAGTTGGGGACTAATGTAAAACTGCTCTCACTATCAAGTGACACATGAACAAGTATGTGGCTTGGATCTAAGGCCCAGAATAAAAAGAGGATCTTAGGAGCTGGGCATGGTGGTGCATGTCTGTAATCCTAGCACTTTGGAGACTGAGGCAGGAGGATCACTGTGAGTGCGAGGATAGCCTAGGCTACATAGTGAGATCCTGTCTCAAAAACCAATATAAAGTTGACTTGCAGTTAATAATTCCAAACCCCACTTTACTGGGCTATAACTTAACCCATCCCCACTGGCTTGAACCACAAGTAAGACATGCATGACTATAGACACCGCCCCATGAGACAGTTCACGCATGTACAGTCCGGTTGTGACTGTGTTAAACTTCCCAGTTCACCTAAGGTCAAGAGGCACCAGTTAGTCAGCAGCTCTATACCAGTCCCCATGAGGAGTTCAACCATGAAAATAAAGATGCATTCTTAACTGTAAACACACAAATTACCACGTGCTCCCTGGTTTTGGAAAAATCTGGTCAATTCTAAAAGAAGAAGTTTAGGACCAGGGATTTAGCTCAGTGGTTCTGGCACCTGCCTCTCAAACACAAGGACCAGAGTTCAACCCCTGGTACCAAAAAATTTTTTTAAATAAATAAAAGAAGAATTTTAATTAACATGGAAGGTAGGGCTCACTAAATAACACTAAAATAACATGCTTCTTTCTCTGGCTTAAATAATTCTGAAAATATGAAGTAATAATTCTTTAGTTTAATAGTCTTTTTTTTTCCAGTACTGGGGATCAAACTCAGGACCTTACACCTGTGAGGCAGGCATGGTAATTAACTCCCTGGCACCATCCTTTTTTTTTGGTACCAGAGACCCAGCTTGGGCCCTTGCGCTGGCAAGGCAGGCAGCAGAACCACTATGCCAAATCCCTGGCCCCATCCTTTTTTAAACTTATCTAAAACAGTAACTCTAGAAATAGTACTAAAAAGATAACCAAGATAAATTTCAGTTATTGTTTTTTTCCCTTGTGGTACTGGGGATTGAACCCAGGGCCTTTGCACTAGGCTACATCCGCCCCCACCTTTTTTTTTGACTCAGGGACACTCTAAGTCACTAAGTTACCCAGGCTGGGCTCAAACTTGAAATCCTCCTGCCTCAGCCTCTTAAGAGTACTGGGATTACAGATGTGTCACCACACCAGGCCACTGGTTCCTCTTTAAATGTGCACTAGGACCACTGGATAGTCACTTCTGCAATGTAGGAAACCAAAGCAGAAGGGAGGAATTTCACATATGGGAGGTTAGAGTATGGGTAGACATACTCATGCAGTGATGCTTATGAAGAATAGTAAGTCGATTAATGAAACACTAGGGACAGAATCATTTTAACAAGAATTTCTAACTACTGGTCATTCCACTATTTAATACAGTCACCCAGATTTTAAAATGAGAATCACAGCTTAAGTGTACAAGAGTTTGTGTGAGTTCCACCTATGGGGACTTGTTTCTAGATTTATCTCAAATGACTGTGTCTCACAGAGAGTCACACAACTGAGGATTTGTCTAAGAATATGTAGTTTCTTTAGAACTTATGATCATCAATTACAAGCATTCCACTGTGATGGGGGGACAAGTAATGAATTCACATTTAAAATGGAAAAGGATAAGTAGTAGGTCCTTGAAAAATAATTACAGGGTGACAATACCTCTTCAATCAGCTTAGTGTTTGACTTTTCTAATGAGTCAACTCTTGAATGGAGGCTGCTGACAGTGCTGCTGAAATTAACAAGAAAAACTCACTCAGAATCCTACCATTTTACAAAAGCAACACAAGTATGTCATCCAGACTCAGGTAACAGGCATGCACCAACTACCTTCAACAGATTTCTGGCTGTAGGAAATCTAATTAACTTGAATAATCTGATTTGGCTAGAGTAGCAAGAAAGACTGCAAGAAAAAAATAAATATTTCTTTTTCTTTTTTTTTTTTGTACCAGAAATCAAACTCAGGGCCTTATGCTTGCCAGGTAGGCACTGCACCACTGAGCTATATCCCCAGTCCAAGAATCAGTACTCCTATTAAAATTCCTCTTGGTGCTGTTTATTACTTAATGTCTTCTTGGGATCCTTCTTACTGATACTGAGAACAGAAATTCCAAAGATTACTAAATATTGTTAAAACTATATTTTAACTTATTTTTAAAAGGATGAACTTTAATTATACACTGTCACTGTGGGGCTTAAATAAGAATATAAATAATGGCCTTCAAGTCAAGTCACAATCTGTTTCCCCTCTCTATTTTCAGAATAACTTAGAAACTTTCAAAGTCCCCTGTAGCTTTAGAGTTATGAATGAGATAGTCATCACTGTGTAAGTTCAGCCTGCAGCTGGACACTCTGTGTCCCAAGGATAGTCTCAGGTAAACACATTTGGTTTTTGCATTTTTTTGTTTGTTTGTTTATATCAACCAAAAGTGAACATGATCATTAGTACTATTTTCTGGCTTTTGGCAGGGAGGGGGAGGAGTGGAGGTGCCGGAGATCGAACTCAGGACCCTGCACTTGCGAAGCAGGCAGTGGAACCACTGAGCTAAATCCTCAGCCCTTTTCTGGCTTTTTGAGACAAAGTCTCACTATGCATTTCAGGCTGGCTGTGAACTCATTATGTAACCCAGGCTGGCCTCAAATTCATGGCAAGCTCAGATTACAGGTGTGCACCACCATGCCTGGCAAAATCAAACATTATTATACACAGTGTTAGGTCTGTTGTCCAAGGTCTTCTTATACAACCTTCAAAACCTCCCCACAATAAATGTAATATGCTTCATTATAGCACTATCTATAATAGAATATCGGCCTCAGAAAAAGTATTGATATTTCAGGTTGGTGAAATAAAAATTTTTCCATTTTAAACAATATAAACATAGGCCAGGGATTTATTTAGCTCAGTGTTTCTCCCCGGTACCCATATATATATATATATAT